AGGCTAGAAAGTAGTTGGTGTGTATCCTCATTATGTTGACTCTGGCCATGAAGTTGTGATGAAGAATGTGTAGAGAACTCTAGGATGATCCTTCCCAGGCATTCCCATGCCTCTCTAAGCCCCTGCTCGGGATCTTTCTGCCCCTCTCTGTCTTTCTGGATCAGGTGCCTGGCACTTTGCCTTTACCACTGCCTCTGAGCCTCCCAGCCATGGACCCTACTGACATGAGATGTTACAAACTTTTTCACGGGGTTAGAGGGAAGAATTAACCTGTATTAGTCCTCAAGTTACTGTACCTAATTCATAAGTACTGTACCTAATTCATAAGTTTTCTTCATTTGAAAAAAAGTCCATTGTTTTTCTTTTTCCACTGTTTAATATTTTGTTTTTGTTTGATTATTTTAGTTGTGGGCTTGAGCACAGTAGAAATGAATGGTGGGAATTTAAGTAGACAGAGGTCACTTACAGTGTAGGCAAGGTGAACATACTTTCTATATCCCATACTGGGACTTCTGACCTTTATCCATACATGCTTATGGGGACATTGGAATAAAAGATTAACAAAATGAGATAGCTTATCTCTATATTAGATATGTTTTATCTATATTGTTATCAAAATAGTCTAGGAATGCTCTAACTATATTTGAATTACCACCATTAGAGAGTCTTTTCTTTCTTTTAGGCCAGAGTTAAAATGCAGAGACTTATATAGTAAAGTCTTATTGTTCGGTCAGTCCCAACTGTGAATTATAGCAGTTTTCAGAGACTTTGAGCCATTAGACTCTTGACAAGCAGTTTGCAAAGAGTTGCTCTCGATCCAAGGAATCTTTAAAAAGTATAAATTTCCTGCGGCCCTGTTAGGTCTGGTTTGGGGATCTGCATTTTCATTCCTAATGGGATTCTGAGAAGAGTTGAAACTCTGCAGCCGCTGCTAATGCACAGTGACTCTCCCAGCAGAGGGTCACTGTGTGGGCCCCTTGAGGGAGCGGCCTGGGCCTGCAGGGACGGACAGGCCCTGGGGAGGCTTTGGCCGCAGGGGCTCCTTTTGAAATGAGGTTCTTTGTTAAAACGGGCGCAGTCTTTACAGATAATTTAGGCTGCTCTCTTGAAAGATAACTTCTGGTGCCAGTAGGAAAAGGGCGAGATTTCTTTCCATGTACGGGCCTCCTAGAGTGTGCCAAGTTGAGTATATTTAGGTCCTATGCTGGGCAGAAGGGCTGGGTAGAGAAGGAGCTAGCAGCCATCAGCTAGCTTCAAACTTGTGTGCATGTGTAGGAATACTGGAATCCACAGCCCACCAGGGCTGGCGCCTTTGTGATACCTCTTCCCTGTGAGACTTCTACCCACTGATTGTCATGCTCATGGCTTCTACATAGCTCTTCTTTAAGGCATGTGCCCTCAGAGTTTCTCTATCATAGAAATAGATTTCCCCAGGATGGAAATAGTTGGAGGAAGACGGTCTTGTACAAGTTTATTCTATAATCCCTCTGATAATGGCCCTTTGCATAGCCTTTCTCCTTTCACTTTCCCCTATAATATACATATAACAAAATCAAAAGCAGTAACAATCCTCTTTCTATATCACTTTAATTTTCAGGGTTTGCCAGGGCTGGGTGTAGATGGAGCAAAGGAATCATGACTTATAACAGATGCGCTATTCTTACATTACCTGAGCTTGAGGTACCAAAGGGAAACTTTGGAATCATTGACATCCTGAAAGTGTACATCTGAGGGTCTATTTTCCACCTTGCTTCTTCTTCCTACCCCATCTCCAGCCTACACGCAGGAGAAAGGCAATTGTAATGCCTGACAAGGAAGCGCTCCCCTGGGGAAGTCTGTCAGAGATGGTATGGTTCTGTCTTTGGCCCCAGCTGCAAGGGGAGAGTGTTGGTGGTGGGGTGGCAGTGGGACCCTAGAGGTGTTGCCCTTCTGCTCTTCTCCTGTCCAGAACTGAGTCTTTTCTTTTGTGCTTTTTGTAAACAACCCCTGGGGGCGCAGAGGAAGCGTCCCAAACCCTTGGAGGGGGACTACGGCCTGTTAGTCATTGCATCGGAGCGTCTGTCAAGAGTAGTGTTACATAGTTGGTGATTCTAAATGTTGAGTAAATGGTAATGACTATTCTACATTTTGGCTTTGGGCAATTAAAGATGGATTATTTTTCCTTTGTAATTTTTAAGATTATCTTAGCAATGGCCTCTGTGACCTTCTTAATCCCCTCAGAGATCAAATTTGAGCCTTTGGAGGGAGAATAATAGTTATTTTCACATAGAATGAATGAAGCCTCACAGCCTGTCCTTGTGGATGAAAGGTCTACCTATTCATTCTTAGCAGCAACTCTTGGCCCACCCCTGATGAACTGAGACTAGCACAGGGCCGCGGAAGTCACTAGCGGAGGCAGCTTTAGCCCTAGTCCCAGCCTCCAGCTGAGCTTCCTGGACCAGGGCCAGTTGCAAACACTATTTTTTTTTAATCTGCAGAATGGGATAAAAATACCACTTCACTTATGGTTGGAGACAAATGCATTAAGCAATTAGAATAGTGTCATGCTTGAAAGTGTGGGCTCCAGGTCCAACTGTCTGAGTGTGGGTGGACACCACCTTCGTCATTCTTACTTATATATTCTTGAGCAAGTGACTTAATCTGTTACTGCCTCAGGTTCTAGCACAATGAAACTGAGTTCCTCAGTTCCTCCCACATGGGGTTGTTGTGAAAAGTATGATGAACTTACATATACTGTATACACCAGAGCTTGGGACAAAGTAAGCTCAGGAAATGTTAGTTTTGAGTTGACAGCAGAGAGTCACTGGATGATTTCATTCAATGATCATTATCATTTTGCCAAGTTAAAGATGTACCTACAAATTTTACCTGTGATTTCTGTGGCCCATGCCTCAGGATAAGCTGCAACTACAATTTTGACCGTAGCATTTAGAATTTGCTTGCAGTTGAGACTGGACAAGAGCTTTGGAGGAGTCCACTATTATTTTCTTTCCCTTTAGTAGTGGGGACAGTTGAGGTTTTGTCTGTAAGCTGAAGTAGCATAGAGGGCTGCTGAGAGGCTGGGGCTTAGTGAATGGACTTTTGATCTAGATTGGAAGAATATGTATATTTTCTTTGGAAACTCCTTGTTTCATTTTTTCTTTTTATTTGATTTGTGTGTGTGTGTGTGATTGTGTGTGTGTGTGAGTATGTCACATGCCCTCAAACAGTATGATACTGATATTAACAGTTTAAAGTAGGCATTGACAAGCTATGACCTGTTGACCAAATCTTGCCTTTGGCCTCTTTGTATGGCCTATGAGCTAAGGAATGTTTTTTTACATTTTATTTTTTTATTTTATATTTTATTTTTTATTTTCTGGTACCAGGAATCAAACTCACGATCTTGTGCTTGCCAGGCAGGTACTGTGCTGCTGAGCTAAATCCCCAGCCCCTGTTTTTTGCATTTTAAGAAGGGTTCAGAGGAGAGGGGAAGCTAGAGCAGACAATGTGAGAAAGTTTCTCAACTCTGGTTTAAAAAATAATGATGTCATCCCCCCACCCCCTGCCCTGACTGTGAATATCTATCTTACCAGTGTCCTTGAAACTCCTGGGTATCTCTTTCAGACCACACGGTTTCTCCTCTCCAGAACTAGCCGCTTTTCTGAATCTTGTGTTATTTTTCCTTTACTTAAATGTAAAAGAATCATATACATATATAAATATATAAGATATTGTTCATGAAGTATGATAAAATATGATAAATTTTACGTAAAAATCATTACAGTAAAAGACACGCTGCCATAATCCCCCCTCAAACTACTCCCCCTTGCTTCAAACACATTTATCCCATCATTCTTGCCACCTTCTGAAACAGCTGCGGAAACCTTCTTTTGTGAGTGTCTTTTAGTGACTGCCTCAGTATCTTGAATTAGTTTGAAACATTTATGATAATTTCTGTCAAATAAAAACCTTATAGTGTATCTACATCCATCTCATTCACCAGCTGTGGCACCGTGTGACTTCTGGCTCTTCCCCAAAGTCAAAATGACCATGAAAGGTAAACTTTTTGAATGAATTCAGGACATCAAGGCAGCCAGGACAGCACAACTAAAAAGACTCATGAAGAAAACTTCCAGAACTGCTTTAAAAAGTGGCAAGAGGGGCTGGGGATTTAGCTCAGCGGCAAAAGCGCCTGCCTGGCAAGCGCAAGGTCGTGAGTTCGGTTCCTGGTACTGGAGAAAAACCAAAAAAAAAAAAAAAAAAAAACGTGGCAAGAAGGGTGGGATAAGTGTGTTTGAAATGAGGAGAATTTTTGAGGGACAGTAATGACTATGTATCTTTTACTGTAACAAACAAAAATTTTTAAAAATTCACGTATTTTTTTATCACACCGTGTATTTTATTTTCTTGCTCTACATAAACGGAATGACCCTCTATATTTTCTCCCATTCCATGCCTATTCTCGCAAGATTATGTTTTCTCCCTATTATTGCATGTTTTAACCTGCATGGAGGTGTACAGCTATAGTTGATTAATTTTCTTGCCACAGGCTTCCATATGTGCAGTTCCATGTACATTTACCTGTTCTCCTAGTGAACACTTGGGTTGTTGTCTGGTTTCTTTTTCCATGATGAACATGTTACCAGCATTCTTATTCTTACTTCATGGTGCACTTATATAAGAGATTCTGGACACATGAAACCATTAGGTCAAAAGTTAGTCATCTTCAGCTTTACAAGATGACATGGACAGTTTTCCAAAGTGATTGTATCCATTTCTTTCTAGTCTAGCTATTTAATACTACAAACTGATTTACTCCAAGGTGAGTGGCTGATGCCAACAATTTCACTGTGCTCATATTTTATGGGCCAAGAAAGTGGAAAGAACTTGGCTGGCCAGTTCCTGTCTACTTCATGGGACTGAAGCATAGTGTGCTGGGGATGGACGATCCACCGCTGGGAGGGCTTCTTCCTCACTCCTATGTCTGCAGCTCCGTTCTCTCCCCTCTGTCTCCACAGGGCATCTTATTCTCCTGGGCCTGTCCACATGGCTTGACTTCCTCACACAATGGTGGCTTCTGAGAAGTGTGACTTCTTATTCGGTGACTCAGAGTTCCAAGAACTGAGGTCCCAAGAGCTTGGAAGTGAACGCTGCTGGCCTTTTAAGACCTGGACCTAGGCATTGCATCCCATCACTTCTCCCACATTCTTTTGGCCAGTGTAGTCACAGTGCCTGCCCAGAATCCAGGGCAGAGGACGCAATACTCCGAATCTTGTTGGGCAAGTGCAACAGGTAATGATCTGTGGCTGTCATCTTTAATCTACCCCACAGTCCTTTCAATAAGGTATGGGAGATTGTGTTGCTACACATCCTGTTAACATTTATTGTCAAATTTCAAAATTTTTTTGCCAACCTGGTGGGCATGAAAAGACAGAATATTTTAGAACATCATTTATTGAATTTTTACTGTGCCATAGGAACAAGGATGAATGATGGTAATTTTTTTCTTCTTCATTTAAATCTTAACCACAGACATGAGGAGTAGATATTATTACTTTCACAGAGGTTAACTAACATGCCAGAGGTCATAGAACAAACAAATGCCAGAGTGTAAACTGGAACAGAGATTTACCGCACTTCTAAGCCTGTGCTGTTAATTTTTCCTTCTTATCCCAAGATGGGAGCTGGAATGATGGTTTGAGTAAGAGCTTGAACAATAAAGAAAACGTAAAACTATCAAACCATGATAACTAAGTAAAACAAAATAATAAGAAAACATGACTTAAACATTTTTATTCATCTATATGGGAGTGCCGTCTCTTCCTTCCTATCAAGCAATAAAACAAAAAATTTATTCTAGAAGAAAAAGTCAAACAACACCTCCTCCAAAATCTAAAACATTTAAATGATTGATAGGAATTGGTCTTACAGTTTTTAAAGAAGGATTGCGGATGACCTCAGGCTGTGTTGAGCTCAGGTGAAGAGACAGATTTAGTCTTTTTATCAAATCAAGGCAGCGCTGCAGCTTCTGTGGTGTGGAAAAAGTAACTTCCACCATGCGTGGGTTCCCAGGCTACGGGAAAAACCTGGAGATACACACAGATGTCTTATGGCGATGTGACCTAATACATTTTCTTGTCCTGTTTTATTCCTGATAAGGATTCCTTTGTCTCTGGGTAACATGTATCTTCTTGGATGTATCTCAGAAATAACTCATCAGTTCAAGACAAAATGCTTTGTGCAACCATGTTAGTTGCTTAATGCCTGGACTAATTTTTAATGAAATCAAACCACTTGGAATCAGTTCTTAGGTACAGTACTTCCTCCCCAAACTTCAGTCCCTCTCCGGGACTGAATTAATCTTCCCCATCCTGCTATTCTTAATATGTGCTTTACCAGGTGTGCTTTTCTTGTTCTGAGAACCCTTTGAAAAGACTCAAACTCATTTTCCTCACCTTCATTGCATTTCATTTAAAAAATATATTTAGGAAGAGTATCACAGCCATACTCTTCTTCAAGAAGGGGATTCATCCTTAAAAAAGCATGGATAAGTGATACCATTATGGTGCAGACACTATAGAGTGCACTTTTCCAAGCTAAAATGGTCATGGCATCACGAGGTGGTACAATCTTATGGGATCAGTGAGGTTTATGTAGTCATTGACTGACACTGTTATGAGGTACACGCCTATATTAAAAGGAATTGGCTCATGTGATTATGGATTTTACTTCATCTGATATATTGTATTTCATTTTAACCAGCTTCTATTTCATTAAAAATTAGTCTTTTCAATTTTCTGTGTGTATCCATTGCTTTGAATGTTGTTCACAGTGGTTAGTGTTAGAGCTTGATCTGTAATAGCTAGCTAAGTCTAAATATCACCTCAAAAGGATCAGATGTGGGTTATGTATGGGTCACTCATTTTTTGTTTCAGTGTCCTTTCATCTTCATGCATGGTTAGTGATTCACCAGTCTGGCTTTATTTTTTGTTGCCCTGTTATTAGCTGAAAGCTGGACAGAAAAACTTTAGTCATAGAGAAAATCTCCAGCTGCTATCACACACACACATGCACACACACACACACACACACACACACACACACTAATTAATGGCTTAACATACAAAATTGGATATTCTTTAATTTAAGAATTTCATGTAGAATGTAATTTAGAATCTATTAATATATTCATGGCTTAAAAATCATAGGACTAAAAGGAAGAAAACATGGCCTGGAGGATAACATGGTACCCACTTGGTTGTAATTCTTTCATGGTGGTCTCTGAAATCTCTCCCCTCCTGGATGATTTAGTAGCTTGCTTAGATTGTGAAAATGAGCTTTCAATTGTGGTGACCTTTGATGCAACAGTAAGACACAGATCCAGGGCGGAGTCTGCAGATGTTTCTTGTGGAGGTGGTAATGCCAGCCAAGTGTGAACATGTGTCCCTCTCTTCACTAAATCAAAGCCAGCAGTCATATGAAAAGATGTACCACATTTTGAGAGCATTACACTTAACTTTAGCATCCATAAGAACAGGGCCTTCGGTTCTATGTAGTGGAGGAAAATGTCCTGCTTTTCTAGGGTTCTAAAGGAAATACCATCCTATAGGGAAAATAAGTTAGAAAGTGGGTACAGTGGTACTTGTCCTATTTTTCTTCACTGAACCAGAAGAGTGTCCTCAGCAAGCTCTAAAATTTCTTCTTGCTCCAAAAGGTGATGGTTTTGGGTGGAAATGGAGTCTTTGGTGTGAAATATAGTCTTGAGTCTTGAGAGACTATTTTTAACTTCTGGCTTTGCCAGTTTATGACAGCTATGCCCCCTCTTTAGAGTGCAGGCGATGTTGGAAACAAAACAAGCTACAACACAACAAAATGTTCTCTGCAGGCCCCACTGGACTGATTTGGAGAAGTGATTTGTTCAGGGGCAGCCACCTCCAAGTCTGGTGGCTCAAGATCTCTTTGCATGGTATGTTCCAGAGGGGGCTCTGAGGGGTGCTGGGACGGGGGCAGTCTGAGGTCAGAAACACTGCTGATCTCATCTTGGAGTTTGAGGTTCTTTTTCCATTCTAGTTAGGCTGCCTCTCTCTCTCTCTCTTCCCGTTAAAATGCCCTGAATGATTTATTTGCCTTTTCTTTCCATTGAAGTCCTATTATGCTCACCTAGTATACATAATCTATACCTAAATAAATGACAGTTAAGAGCCAAAAAAGCCTTTGATCAATTTTAGAATGCCTTATATACTTTTAAGAATATAGATGACAGTGAAATATCACCTGATATTTATCAATATAGCTACTCATTTGTGTTTAAAATAACATACCCCAACTGATATACGAATACAGAAATATTACTTTTTTTACTCTAGTTTCTTGAAACAATTTTATTTAGATTTCTTGCATATTTTTACCCTGATTGCTACATGGATGACCTAATGCAGCTTTCTAGGCTCATGATTCTCATTTCTAAATTGTTTGAAAACCAGCACTTCTGAATCCCCATTAACACATTAATAAGAATTGCTGCTCAAATTGTAAGTACTTATTTGACTAATGTAGCTAAATTGGTTTCTCCTTGTCATCTGGGTGTATATTTGTGATCTTCCATTTGTGACCTCCAAAGTATAGCCACTTATGGTGCTGCTTTTAAGAGTTACTTTTAAAGGCTTATTATTTTTAACGACAACCCATAGTTGCAAATACAAATGTTAACCTTTGGGAACAAATGAACTATATCAGACTTAAACTTCTTTAGCTTCCTTTTTTTTTTATTAATTCCACACTGACATCTGTAAGGACCCTAAGCAAACATAGATTGATTATTATTTTAGGCTTGTGTGCTTTCCTCTTGAGGCATTGCTTAGTTAAAAAAAAATTGTTATTTGTGAGATTTTGTAAGGAAGCTGATGTAAGGCAATTCCATTTATAAGGGATAATCCCAGGCAAGTAAAAGGAAACACTTGTTTTATATTCTCAATAGGACAAAGTGAGTTCCCTAGCAAGTGATAGAAGGATGACAAGAATTCCGTGTTTTTGTTTAACGGATCCATTTTATTTGCACAATGTATGGAAGTACCCATTAATCTCTTCCCTTCTCCCACTTTCTACAAAATAGGTTGGTGAACCAGTGGGCTAAAACTTAGAGAAGCCATCTACACTCCCTGGCTGCTATTTGTGTTATGGACACAAACTTAGAAAGAGATGGGAGGAATATGTTTGGTATCAAATCCTTTTGAATGAACAATGAACATAGCACTTTGGACAGAGACTGAAATTGTTAGAACAATTTTAAGTGTTGAAAAGATCATGAATCAGGAAAGCCAGAGGTGACCTGCAGGTTGCAGGAGATGGTTCTCTATAGATATTTCAGTGACTTTGGACATTTCTTGGTTCAGTCCTTGCCGTCATTGTCCTCTCATTTTCATTGTAATTGTCACTCAGTACCTACCTATGGTGCCAAGAGCTGCTGATACGGATTTACACAACTCATTTCTCTTGACTCTCACAGCTAATATTTCAGCTTGCCCGTGGTAGGAGAGTTTGGAGAGGAAAGTAGTCTGTCGCTGTTAACTGCCGTGCACAGCGGGGTAGCTTGTTTTCAGCCCCATGTCCATGTTGCATCAGAAAGTTTGAACTGAGTCTTATGCACAGTGACAAGGGAAGGCAGGAGTTTTCAGACTCCTTCATTCTTTCGATCTTCCCCTTGGATACAGGCCCCATTCCGAGTATGTGTTTTCCTCAATCTTTCTTTCTGCTTCCTCACTCTTGCTTTCTTTGAGGATTCTGTCTCCTGTTTAGGCTAACTAGAGACAGTCATATCATGGGAAGGGTCTAAGATTGACATTTGAAGACTTGGCCTTTATACCTCAGTTTCCCTCTTAAGAACTGTGTTATCTTAAGCAAATCACACAAGCTTTTTAAGCTGCAGTCCTCTTTCCTGTGTTACAAAGTATGATTGAAAAACAGTGTGTACTAAAAAACAGAATTATTACAGTAAAGAGCACATTGTCATTAATCCCCCTCAAAATACTCCTCCCCACTCGAAACACTCAACCGACCATTTGTGCTACTTCCTGAAGCACTCGGAGGCCTCTTCTGTTGTCTTTAGCTGTGCTGTCCTGGCTGCCTCGATGTCCTGACTTCTTTTTTTGTTTGTTTTTAATTTTAAAAATAAAAGGAGGAAAACATTAACAGACAGACAACATTTTACAAAATAGCAAAAGAACAGTACAGACAATACAGAGTTACAAACAAAGTGGTAGGAAATTAACAATGCTTGTTGTATTACATATTGATATCTTCAAAGTGGTTTCTCATGAATACAGACAGAAACATGCAATATTGATCAATTAAGGACTCACTGACAGTTTCTTTCAGCAAAGCAACAGAAGACAGTAGAACAGCTATCTTAACTATCCTATATATACATATCGATGTCTTGACTTCATGCAAAACTTTTATCTTTGATGGTCATTCTGACTTTGGGGAAGACCTTGAAGTTGTATGGTGCCAGATCCACTGAATAATGTGAATGAGGACCCACCATAATGTTCTTACGAGCCTGTCTTTCTGTTGGATGACACTCGGCAGCAGCATTTACTGTCTATTTTTATCACACCTCTTAAAAATACAAAAAAGGACTCCAAAACTGCTTCAGGAAGTGGCAAGAACAATGAGATAAGTGAGTTTGAAGTGAGGGGAAGTATTTTTGAGGAGGATTAATGGGAATTTGTCTTTACTGTAATATATTTTAAAAGATTTTTAAGCACTCACTGTACCTTTGGATCACTGCTTATAGAAGTGGCTATATGTGAATTTAAAAAAATATATATTCATTGAGGCAAAGGAGTTTTGCAGTCCTGCTATCATTTGCACTGGGGTGTGCCATTCAATCTGACTGTGGGAATTTCAGCTCTAGAAGGCTGGCGAGGGAAGCAGGACAGGTTTGAGGAATGGGTTGGGTGCAGGACTACCAGTGGCCCTAGAATAAACTATGGGTGGGAGATGATGTTTGCTGCCCTTCTGCATTTGCTGCATTCTCTGTTCTCAGCTTATAGCCACAGACTCTGAAACTTAGTCCTCAGAGGTCTTTAGGCCCAGATAAGGCAGCCGAGGCCTGGAGAGGTGCATGGTCCTGCCCAAGGTTTTGTAACTCGCCAGCACTGCAATTGGGGCGAAGACATTTTTTATCATCCATGGTGGTAGAACTGGCAATTACAGACCAGGCATGCAAGTATCTGTGTTTAGTCTAAAGGAAGCTCGTTAAATTCCACTTCCTCCTAAGAGTTTCTAATGGTAGCTTTTAGATCCCCTAGTGCTTGCTCCTTCTGTGAATTGCAAGTGGTATGACTGCGGAAGAGCTTTCAAGCAGGAGCCCTCTGACCCCAACCCTGCTCACCAATAGCTGGTGAGGATGCACAGGGCAGAGATCCTAGCTCTCTGGACCCTGAAAAGCTCTGACGAAGCTCCTTCCACAGAAGCGTGGAAAGCTCCTGAATGATTCAGCTGGGTGGCTGAAGTTGTCACTGGTTTTCACGTGGAGATTCTTGTCTGAGAGCTTAGCATTTTCACGATAAAATGTTTCAGGCCTGCAATAAAGCATGAACAGAAGTAACGAACACTGTCTGCTCACTGCAACTTCTCGATGCTTTTGTGTTTTGTTTTGCTATATCTGTTTCACATCACTTTTTAAAAGAAGTAAAACACAGTCAACGCCTTTTAAATCTGTTTTCTGAGTGTTCTTTGCTTTGCCTGAGGAAAATGTTACTCTGAATTTGGCATTGATACTTTTTTTGG